AAGAATCACTCCTTGGGCCGGAGAGATAGCTCAGTAGAATAAGAGCTTCACTGGCAAGCACAAGCGCCTGGGTTCAATCCCCAGTTCTGCAAAAAAAAGAGTCACTACTCATACCAAAACGGGGGTCCATCTATACATTTCATTCTCTGCAAAGGGTGCTGCCTTCATGAACACCTACTGCCATACTATGACAATAAAGACAAATGGCACAACTTCTTCCTTATAGACGTTAACAAATAGGTCACCACTCCTACTTTACAGATGAGAACACCAAGGGCTGGACAGAAAGGTGAAGCTACCGGTCTTTTTTTTAAAAATGTATTTCATACATGTTTTCACTATGCAACTCGGACTCCTAGTGATCCTCCTGTCTTTTTTTTTTTTTTTTTTAATTTTTATTTATTTGTGTGTGTGTGTGTGTGTGTCCCCAGCTCAGCCCATCAGGGGGCAGGGCTGGCTGGCATGTGGTGCTGGGGGATTGAACCTCAGTCCCTTTGCTTTGGTAAGCTTGTTCCAAGTAGGTGCTTTAGACCACTGAGCCATCTCACCAGCCCCGATCCTCCTGTCTTTAGCCTCCTCAGTGCTGGCATTACAGGTATGTGCTACCACGCCAGTCTTTGGGGCTGCTCAGTGCACCAGTGGGTGGTGCCGGCATGGCATGTGGTACTGGGGATCGAATCTCGGTCCCTGCGCTTGCCTAAGCAGGAGCTTAGTCTGCTGAGTTATTTTGTCAGCCTCCCCCCCCCACATACATTTTGTTTAAGCTAGGGTATCCCTAAGTAACCCAGGCTGGCCTCAAAATCAGTGATCTTCCTTCCTCAGCCAACCTGAGCACTGGGATTATAGGTGTGTGTGCCACCACATCCAGTACTGGCCTAACATTCTAGGGCATCCTGGTATAGAAGCTCTGTGTAAGGACTAAGTCATTTGGGGCTGGGGAGATAGCTCAGTAGAATAAGTGCTTGCCTGGCAAGCGCAAGGGCCTGAGTTCAATCCCAGGTTCTTTTTTTTTTTTTTTTGCAGAACCGGGGATTGAACTCAGGCCCTTGCACTTGCCAGCAAAGTGCTTATTCCACTAAGCCATCTCCCCGGCCCCTCAATCCCCAGTTTTGCCAAAAAAAGTACTAAGTCATTCCTACTTGAACAGGAATGAGGCATCCCAGAAACCCACTCCTGCCCAATGGGACTCAGAGCCAGACTGAGAAAGCAAATACTTACAAGGCTCCTCCTGCCCAGGCAAAGTCACTTGATGTTTCTTTATGCCGTCAAAGAGGAGTTCTGCACCACCTCTGCAAAGGAAGGCCAAACAAGATAGCAGGTGAGCTCCGGCAAGCAGGCGGGGTGGGCTGAGCCTGAGAACTGAGAGTGAGGCTGGCAGTAAAAGCCTGGGAGACACAGACACCAACGTGTGGGAATAGTAGGTACCAGTGACTGATTGACTCACATGATTTCCCCAATGTGGCAAACTAGAATGCATACAATTGTCAGTAACAAAGCACCCACATTTGTAGATTTTCATTTTTTTTAAACATTTATTTATTTATTTATTTATCTGTGTGTGTGGCCAGCTCAGCCCACCAGGGGGTGGACTGGCTGGCATGTGGTGCTGGGGGATTGAACCGTGGTCCCTGGCTTTCCTAAGCTTGTTCTAAGTAGGTGCTTTAGACCACTGAGCCATCTCACCAGCCCCATAGATTTTCATTTTTATACCTCTGCTTTCTTGAGACAGATCAAGATACAACTGCAAAACATACATTTTAGAGCTTTCAGCCTCAAGACTCCACCCAGGCATGTGTGATCTTCATAAGCTTTGACTGTGTGTGTGTGTGTGTTGGTACTGAGGATGGAACCTGGGACATTTGTAGTAGGCTCTACCTCTAGCCTTTTTTTTTTTTTTTAAATTTATTTATTTTGTGTGTGTTGTGTGTGTGTGTGTGTGTGGCCAGCTCAGCCCACCAGGGGGCGGGGCTGGCTGGCATGTGGTGTTGGGGATTGAACCGTGGTCGCTGAGCTTTTGCTTAGCTTAGCTTGTTCTAAGTAGGTGCTTTAGACCACTGTGCCATCTCACCAGCCCCCGCCTTTTTTTTTTTTTTAAACTTTATATTTGGAGACTTTTTTGCTAAATTGCTCAGGTTGGGCTTGAATTTTCAATCCACCTGCCTCAGCCTCCCAGAGTGCTTGAATTACAGGTATGTTTATAATCCCATGTCCAATTTCAAGCCTTGCTCTTTCCATCTGGAAAAATGCTGAGACGTAGCCAAGCATAATGGCGTATGTCTATATTCCCAGGTAGGGCAGGAAGCTCATGAATTTGAAGCTAGCCTGGACAACTCAGACCTCATCCCAGAAAAGAAACAAAACAAAACAAGGCAAAAAGCCAACCAAAAAAAACCAAAACGCCAAGAAGCCCTTGTAAAGCTTCTGGAGACCTCTGTGCATCTAGCAGTTTCCTCTGGCTAGGTCAGTGTTGGTTGGAAATGCCCATCCCTGGGGCTGGGGAGATGGCTTAGTAGGATAAGCGTTTGACTGGCAAACGCAAGGATCTGAGTTCAATCCCCGGTTCTACCAAAAAAAAAAAAAAAAAAAAAAAAGGAAATGCCCATCCCTGACCCCTGCTGCTGGCTGGGTGGGCACAGAACAGTGCAGGAGTCCTAGAAAGCCATTGGGCTGCTGTTTGCATCACCTTGCCTTTTTATTACATGTTCCTTATCTCCTTTTCCCCTTAGGCCTTCTTAGGAAAAGAGGGAGGCTGACATTAATTCCATTTGACCAGAAAAGCCAACCAGAGAAGCCGACCAAAGCCTAGAGAGATCAAGTCACTTGTCCAAGGTCAGATAATCAGGAGCTGTACTAGGAGTTGAATCTAACTGGTTCCTGCTCAGCTCCAGTAATCCTGCCAGAGATGAAACAAAACAACCCATGGTTGCTCTGGAGGAAAGAGTTTGGTTCACTTCTGTGCCCCAGCACCTGGCCAAGGGAAGGCTGGGATAGCAGAGATGTTCAGGGCCAAGTCCAGAAGCCAGGACTCCTGTGTCCCACACAGCATCTCCCTCTTAGATCTCCTAATTCCTAGTCCAGACTTCACATGGGTCTGAATTGAGAAGGCCTTAATAGACTTTGGATAGATGTGATGTCTCCCACCCCTGCACCCTTTCCCCATCTCAGGGAACAGATATGTCCTAAGGGAGGCAAAGGCAAGGCAAGCATTGTCATGGGGGAAACATGGGGCGACTGTCATCCAAACAAGGTCATGCTTTGTTGATGCAGAAATGTGGAGGGGGAGCAGAGGCCCATCTGTGGCTGCGCGCAGGGCCATTTCAGCTGTGAGTCTGCACAGAGCCTGCATTTATCTCCTTCCAAGAGCCTCGTTTTCTCCTGGGTAGGGGTTGGCACATGCAGCAGCTGGGGTGGGGGAGGGTGACAGACAAGGGGCTCAGAAGTTGGGAGTCAGAGAAGAAGGGTGGGAATTGGAGGCACTGGGACTCAGGCAAACAACCGAGAGTGGCCAAACCTAGTGGTGCCAGGCTCGGAGGCTCAGCCTGTTTTTCCCTTTAGAGGCGGATGAAGGGAGGACCAGTGTAGTTGGGACCCGGCAGTGTCCCAAGGGAGGGGCTGGGTTTGCCAGCACATCTGGAACGTGGGGGAAGGTACATGCCAAGCCTCTGGAGTGACCTGGGGAGTCAAGACAATGTGGAGAGGCAGACAAGTAACTTGTTTTGGCCCCAGGGACTCAAGGCCAAATCCTGTTACATCTTAGAGGATCTGCTATTCAAACTCAATGTAGATTCCTCCATCTTGCCTCCACCCTCACATCCTGATGCCCTGATGGACATGTCCTATACCAGTCACAGGTACAAACTCCTTCACTTTTTCTTCCTCTTTTTGTACTGCTAGCACTGGAACCCAGGGCTTTGAGCATGCTACATAAGAACTCTACCTCTGAGACACACCCTCAGGCATGCTCTTGTTTTTTCTACTTTACATTTTTTTTTAAAAAATCATCTATCTATACTTATTCATCTTCCCCCTACCTGCTGGAATATAAGCTCTTCCTAAAGCAGGGCCTGGCACACAGTAGACACTCTCTTACTCTGTAGTACTGTGCTGCTAAAAATTTACCAAATGAATGAAAATGTCCATTTTTCTCCTTTTCTCTGACTTAAGTGGTGTGCCCAACATTGCCAATACCTCTCCAACTTGTTGAGGAAGAAATAGGATGGCACAAAGGTAACATCACACCTGGGGCTTTATAGCCTGGAATAAAGGGATCTAAAACAAATCCCATGCTTCCTGAAAATGCTCTAAGAACAGTTCAGGGGTCAAGACCAAAGATGATGGAAATTGTTACTGACAAGACAGAGAAAGGTATTAAAGCCCTACAGAAGAGCTAGTGGGGCCCAGATGACTATGTATGCTCAGGGGTTAGAAGTGAGGACATATCTATATATGCCACACTATTCCAATGGTGAAGGCGGGATCAATGGGGAAATAATGGACATGGCGGCCTCCGGTTCAGATGGAATGGTGAAGTATGGCTGCTAAGAGATCATGAAATGAGGTCAGATGTACAGCATGCTCCAACAGAGAGAAGGGATCTGGGTCTGGCACATATCATGGGGATCCTTACTTCCCATGAAGCTGCAACACTCACGGGGCACTGTGATGTGGGTATCGGCAGGTAGGTAGGTAGGTGTAGGAATGTTGGCCTGCCTTGCCAGGGCTCATCACTGCTCTTGGAGGTAAGTAAGGCCAGAAAAGGGGCAATGTCTGTAAATTCTGGAATGCAAGGAACTTATTTTTCTCCTGACTTTCTTACTGTTGCCAACATGTATCTGAAAGATAGAAGACATCTTTGGTAAACAAACGTGGGATTCAGTGAGAAGAAAACACAAGTTGGCAGGTAAATCCTAATGCTTCCAGTCCGCAGCTTTTCCCTTTCCAGCTCTGTTGAGGTCTGTCAAGGTAGCATGGATCCTCTCCTAGAATCCTCAGGCTTGGACGGAAAAGCTGGGCCTAGGATCGGTGAATCAAAATAGTCAGGAAGCCAGACCAGGATAGTTCTACTTGGATCCAAGTAGTCAGACAATATTGTCAATTAAAATGTATTTATCATTCATGAGACTGCCCCCATTCTAAAGGGCAGAAATGCTGAACACTGTAGGGCATGGACAGAGTGCTATTTATCTTTGTATCCTCTGCATCTGGCCCACTGCCTGGCACATGGTAGGCACTCAATAAATGACTAGAGAATGAACTACTCAGTGAAAATAAAACATGAAAGAAACTGGGTATCCAATGGGAGAAAAGGCATGTGGACGGAGATCTTTGGATTCTCACCCCAGACTTCTCTTATCACATGGACCTTAACTTATCTTCTCTCACATGAAGGAGCATACACTAAGTTCCAGGTTTGCTGTGTTTTTGGAAAGGATAACCACTCATGTTTTTAGGTCTTCTTTTTTTGGCTTTCTCTCTAAATTCTCCAGTTTTTCTCTCAGCTTTGAAATCATTGTAGAGGGGACAATGCAGTGGCTTGAAAATATTTTTCTGCTGTGTTTCTTTGGTTAGTTCTCATAATCTTCACAACACTCAGCAGTTTTACTGACAGTCCTGAAAGAAACTCGTCTGCTTAAAAGCTTGAATTCTTGGGGAAAGAGAAAAGAGTCCCGTAAAAAAAAAAAACAAGGGTAGGACAGTTTCAGGTTGTAGGAGCTCATGATGCCAAACAGATGGGCCTCGTTGGAAATGAGAGTGGTAAAGACTGTGGAGAGGCCGCCTACTAACTGCCATGTCTTTTGGGTCTCACAGGATATAGGCCACCGCCAAGTACTGGAGCGCACCTCCCGCCGGTGTGTGCGCCACTATTCCCGGACATACGGCCTTGTCGCCAAGGGAGACCCAACCTCTCAGACTCCAGGCGGGTGGGATAGCTCACAGCAGATGCAAGGAGCCTCGGCAACTCGGCCTTGTTAGGCCCCAAGGCAGGAAGGGAGCTTCGAGACCCAGGACTTCGATCCATCCCTACGGAACCCCAGTTCTGTGACTCACCCGAACTCCACCTCCACTGACAAGGGCGCTGCCATGTTGAGGAAGCCTAGCTGGTAGGAAACTCCCCTCAACTTCCTGCGTGCACGCCCATTTCCGGTTGTCGCGCGGAGCCGAGGGCGGAAGAGGCGGTGACGAAGGCGGAAGAGGCGGGGCCAGGGTTCCGTCCTCCTCAGCTATTGGAGGAAAGTTCGGAAGGCGAGGAAGGAGCGGTCGCCTGGGATTTGGAGGACTGTAGGTCTCGGAGACCGAGAGTGCGGCGTGGCTTCACCGAAATCACAACTAGGCAGACGAGTGCTGGCAGCATCTTTGCGACGTGATTGTGAGCTACATTACTGCTTATCTTGCATTATCTATAAATGACCAACACGTTGCTTGGGCGAGCTCGTTCACTTAAAGTGGAAGGACACCAAATCTTTTACGCCCCAGAAGTCTACTTCCTAAGCCGAGAACTTGCTGTCCAGCCCTTCCCCTTTTGATGTTGATTTAGATGTCTCGCAACAGCTATTTACTGCTGGTTCATGTGCCGCGTTGCTTGTTTTGGTGCAGTGGACTCAATAGTGAAAAGGGCGCTGGTATGGTTTCTTCGCCTTCAGGGCCTTCACAAGTTAGCGAGAAGACAAGCTGTGATCAAATAAACAGAGTAGCAAAATAATAAATGTCAATCTCAAATGGAAAGAAACGATCTAAAGTTACAGAAAGAAAACCGGGAGTTGGAGTTGCAGCTCAGTAGTGGCGCGCCTGCCCCGCCGTGTGTAAGGTCCTGTGTTCGACCTGAAAGTATAGACGGAGCATGGCTGTAAAGCCTGAGTAAACTAGGGGACCATGAGAGGAGTCCGTTGAAGAGAGCATAAGGTGCAAACCAGCCAGGGCACAAGGGAGGACAGGGGAAGCTGGTGAGCAGCGAGTTTGCCACGATGAGGTTAGAGCCGGCTCAATAACCAACAATCATTTTCTAGCTAAAGGTGTAGCGCAGTGTGTTTGCGTAGCATGTATGAGGATCCCTCTGTCTCATTCTCAGCACTGTTTCCCCCAATAAAAACAAAAAACAACTTTCTTGGAAGGAATATGGAGAATAATTTGGAACAGAACCAGCAAGGGAAGTGACAGGGAGCGCACTAGAGGTTGTTGCAAAAGCCTGGGGGAGAGACGGAGTGGCGTGGATGTGGCTTACCCGCGGGTCTCTGTACTGCAGCACTTTCTGAACTGAACTTGGTGCTGGCAGAGGCTGGCAGTGTGGCCTCCTGGGCGAGGGTGCATTGATTAAGTTGAGAGCTTGGAGTTCAACTGTTACATTGAGGTCTCACCATGACCTAGCTGTTTGGGCAGGGCACCTTAACATCTTTGTTTCACTTAACCTCATCTGTAAAACAGAGATAATAGTCCATCCTTACAGAGGTGTTGAAAGGACTGAATGAGTGCTCGGCATAGGCCAATGAAGGTGAATGATTCATTCATTTATTTGAGAATTCTACCACTGAATCACCCATCCACACTTTTTTTTTTTTGTGGTGGAACCGGGGATTGAACTCAGGCCCTTGCGCTTGCCAGGGAAGCGCTTATTCCACTGAGCCATCTCCCCGGCCCCCGTTCATTTATTTGAGATGGGGCCTTACTGTTTAGTCCAGCGTGGTCCTCTTACGCCAGCCTCCACGTGCTGAGATTACAGATGTGTAACACCGTAGTTGGCTGAATAAGGAACTTCTTAAAGCTTTCAGTGATACAAACGGCCTTCTGAGGCAGGCATGCAATAGGTTTGTATAGGTTGTATATGTCCCAATCCTGCAGTGCCATTGTCACTCTTCCAGACACTCAAGCACCCAATTCAGACACTGTCCTCAGTTCTTCCTCTTCTCATACTCAGACAAAAAATTTGGATTAATCTCCCTTCTAACCTGGTTCAATTCCTTCCATATCTCCACATCCTCTGTCTCATAATCCTACCGGATCATCTACACCTCCTTCCTCTGGCCCATCTGCTTTCTTCTTCTCTGTCTCTGGCTATAGTTTCCTTGTCTAGCTCAGTCCCCTTCATTGTGCTGCTCACTGCTCCAGAAATAGGGACACAAACAAGACAGCTCTGGTTC